AAACAAAGTAATTAAATAAACATACAAAAAAACACAAAACTTTTGTACGAAAAAGGAATCTTTTATTTAAAAAGTAATGTTATTTTTTCTTTGTTTAGATATAAAAATTGACAGTAGAACAATTTATTGGTGATGTGGTTTATACATTTATTATTATAAATTGCATTTTATAAAGTGCATTAGTAACAATTATACGATACAAAAATGAGAGTCTTTTATTAAAAAATTAAATTACACAACAAATTATATTATAAAAAAATCAAAAATTTTCATAAATTTTTAAGAGATTTCTTTCCGTTTACATGTCAAAAAACAGAAGTTCTTATGTAACTCTCTTTTTGTTTGTATAATATACTTGTAGGAGGATACCGCGCATATTTTTTTCACAACCCTTATTTATTATAATATTTAAAACAAAATATAAAAAAAATATTATATTAAACTCTAAGATTTCAAAATTTAGTAATTAGTATAATAAACAGGTTAATTGTTCTAAAGATATCACATACATTTTATTTTATTTCAATTTTTTTACAAGGTTTTTTACAATATAAAAAAAATACTCTCGATTGTCTCTTTGTGCGACACCTCAAAATTATATCACTATTTCTTTCACTGTCACTGTGTGTCACTCGCGCACAATTTTACTTTTATAATAAAAATAAAAATAAAACTCAATCTGTCATATGCAATCACCCTCATCGCAATTACAGTTAAGACAAGTTCCACTTGCAGCTAGTAATATGTAACGTGTGAACGAAGCACACGTTCGAGACAACCAATCAGCATCGCGGAAAAGAAGTAACAATCAGGATCGAGAGAATCGATTCTGATTGTTTGCACACACTTTTTATTTAGAGGACTAGCAGACAACCCGCGCTACGCGCGCGCCTTTATTTTCTTTGGATTCAATTCAAAACAATTATTATTCCCGTTATCATTTTTTTGGTTTTTTATAAATAAAAAAAACATTTTTATACTGTTTAGTCCTGATGTTATACCTACATCTTTTCTTTCTTCTTTTTTTATCTTTCATTCTAACTCATGAAATTTCTTCTAAATGTCACATCCGTGGACTTAGATGTTTAAGTACTTATTGTATCGAGTTTTCTTTTCTTTTTCTTTTTCAGTTTTACTTTGTTACAGTAGTCGGTAAGTTACCAGCCTTGAACATGTACCATGGTCGGTAATTTACCATTGTCGGTAATGTACCATGGTCAATAAAATACCATGGTCGGTAATGTACCATGGTCGGTAACGTACCATGGTCGGTAATGTACCATGGTCGATAATATATCATGGTTGGTAATATACCGTTATTGCAGCGATATGTTGTTGTTAAAAGAATTGTAATAGCGCATTAA